TTTTATTTCGAACTCACATTGATGTACATAAAATTTACAGAAGACACAATATGTTAATTACAATCTATAAAACAAAGAATATCTCCGCATTTTTTTGCGCTCATGTATGATATATTTTGTTCTATGTTCAAGATGGAAGTAAAGTCAGTTAACGAAACAGAGAATGGATCGATTCCATTATAACAACCTTTGTCCTTATAAGTGCACCAGCTTCTAAATATAGCGTACATTGCTATAGCTACTATATGGTTAGCTGCACTTGATTTTTGTTGGTTCTGTGGACATCCATATAAATTAAAAGTGTTTCAACATTGATTGATAAGATGGTTTGCCTAACTTACTTCCATACTTTTATAGTACATGTAGATGGATTATACAATAAATTTGTGATGTGTGTACCTTTTCTAATAAATTCTATGTGTGACTTTTGTTAAACTGAATTTTGTGTGATTCAGATTATATTGTGTGGACTGTACAGAAACGACATGTATACTAAACGTTAGTTATACATCAGAGTTACAATTAGAATTAAATATTAATAAAAGTTATTATGTCATTTTCCTTCAGAAATTGTGTTACCTTCATTTATATATGTATCTTACGCCTCGTATTTAGAAGAACTCATCATATGTCATCATAATACTCATCATACAATGACCAAATTGCATATAAAACAATGTTGATTGTGAATATATGTATTGAAACATTATGTAATCTTAGCCAAGTTTCACTCGAGAAAGATAAAGAGCAGAAATATTTTCGTGCTTTGAATTCCTTTTACTTTGGCGCCATGTCACCACATGCCTAGTTTGTAAATACGTAGTACTTTGTGGTTGGCTATAAGGCCGTGTGGAACATTCCATGTAAAGAGGAGGGCGGCTAACTGCACTGGGATTTATAAATAAAGACACAAAATTACAATTTTGACTTATGATTTTAAGCAACACTGCCGGTAGCATGAACTTGTAAATCAACTTTATTGATAAAAACACTGTAAATGGTAAACATGTGACTACCCCCTTTATGAAGTGGAATATCCGGGATAGTTCCACAGTTTGAGGAACTACTTGTTATCTCAGTTTCGGTGACGCATGCAAATTCTAATCGCCTGTCTTAAATCCTTTTCCTTTACGCACAGAAAGAACCCAGTTGGTGTAGTGCTGGACTAAAAACTTCTGCACGGTAAGAACATTGCAAAAACATTTGTTACTTTCAAATTTAGTGACCTCGTTTGATACGGCGAACCCTCTTGACTTTTTTGTGTGTCTCAGCCTTCCTTTTGAAGTCTGGTTCTGATCTGCAATGACATTAAGAAGTTCAAAGCTCGTTGAATGACGGTATTTTTACTCAACATTTGTTGTTTCCGTAACGGCTTGGTCACCTTCGCTTCACCGTACGTAGATCGCCGTACGATTTTGACGCCGTTCAGGCAGGCTGTGACAGCGTAGTCAGGGAGACAGACGGATCAGTACCGTGGCCGACAAGAACAAAATTTTACACCGCAACTTTTGGTGTTTTACACCGCAACTTTTGGTGTTTTACACTGCAACTTTTGGTGTTTTACACTGCAACTTTGGGTGTTTTACACTGCAACTTTGGGTGTTTTACACTGCAACTTTTGCTGTGTTTTACACTGCAACTTTTGTTGTGTTTTACACTGCAACTTTTGGTGTTTTACACTGCAACTTTTGCTGTGTTTTACACTGCAACTTTTGCTGTGTTTTACACTGCAACTTTTGCTGTGTGGAAAACTTACACCCCTCCCCTTTTATAATGGACGGTCCCCCTGTCAGGTCAAAGGTGACAACGATGGCATGCAAACTACGTCGACTGAGTTATCCTTTTCGTGCATAAGTTTTTTAGAGGAAAAGCTTGGCTACGTTGTGACGTTAGTTTTTTTCTAAAGGTTTTTCTAGCTTTGGCCTATAGACCGGGATAAATTTAAAAATGTTTCGACCAGGTCCAGTGATTACAAATTATGTTGCTTTTTGCTGCCATGCGTCACAACAAATTTATCAAGGACGTCAGATATCCAGCTCCAGACATCAACAGCAATGACATAAATTTTCTGCAGGTTAGTTCATTATTATTGGGTATGGACATAGTTCGTTCTCTTCATTTTAATGTCCCTAGACGTCAGCTTGTGACTTGCCGCCGCCATCTTTGTCACCTTTGACCTGACAGGGGGACCGTCCATTATAAAAGGGGAGGGGTGTAAGTTTTCCACACAGCAAAAGTTGCAGTATAAAACACAGCAAAAGTTGCAGTGTAAAACACTAAAAGTTGCAGTGTAAAACACCAAAAGTTGCAGTGTAAAACACAGCAAAAGTTGCAGTGTAAAACACAGCAAAAGTTGCAGTGTAAAACACAGAAAAAATTGCAGTGTAAAACACCCAAAGTTGCAGTGTAAAACACCAAAAGTTGCGGTGTAAAACACCAAAAGTTGCGGTGTAAAATTTTGTACCTGTCGGCCACGGTAGATCAGGGCTGTTACAACAGAACCAACCACCGACAAGCCTGGTTTAAAATAAGAGTAAGACCACACATAAGACAGCTGAATTCTACAACGCACTTGCACGACTAACCCAAGAACACATTTTTGCGATTTTACGGCGATTGCACGACGTCTGTGACATGGACGTTTGAAATACTCCAGACCTGCTTTGTTGACTTCATGGTGCCCCATGAAATGTTGTTGGCCGCTCTTTGTCATGCAAGAACTTGATACCTGACACCAGAGTTCCTCTTTTATAAGGTCCCCGGTTATAAGGGTGTTTTTGTTGACGTCTATCCTCTAGCGCAAAGCTTGCAAACGGTTGCTTTTGCACAAAGTAGGGCTGTATGCCAGTCTATGGTATGTATCCTTGCAAACCGTAACGTTGCTTACTGCTTGCTTAAGGCGGTCCTTCGATTTCGAAGATGACGTCCCTCATTGTTCACCGTAACGTAAAACAAAGAAAAGTCACATGAGAGTACATGCCATAGCGGCTACGGGCATGTAAGACATTACTAGATATGCACATTTTATTACATATTAAGCCTTAATTTCTTTTTAATTTGTATGTATTGTTCCATCCGTGGATAACTTCGAGTCAGAATGGTTAATTCAAGAGACCGTTTAAACAGTATTAAACAACCAGATGTTTATATTTATGTTACAAAGTCGATTGTTTCTTCACACAGTCTTTTGATTACGTTTAGAATTAATAAAGGACCATCTACTGAGTGAGAACGGACTATGCCGCCGGCTGTTCCTATCTACGAACCGGGGGACCGTGCTCTAGCTCACCCCGCCCCTGTCAACAGACCTCCGCCTCGGGGCCATCCGGTTTTAGGTCTCGTTCCTGCTAACGGAGATGTTCCAAACGCACAGCATGCGCAGGTAAGAGTTTTATCGACACCCGATATACCCATATAGCTTTCGAATCTACGGAACTGCATAGTTTTATCATCTTATAATTAGACATTCTGACATTGTATAACAACGAGAGAAATATCCTCTGTAATTGAGAGACCAGAGGGGAAAGCAGGTTTATCCTCTGTAATTGTATACAAGATATGTTCCCTAGTTTTAGATATTTAGATAACAAAGAAAAATTTGTATTCCTCATGCAACTACATGTAGATATATTGTAATCTTACATATGTATTTACACCTACAACGTTGTGTCTTCGGAAGCGAGAAGAAGCTGAAACTGTACATAATAGGCAACACTTTACAAAGCTGTTATTGCGAATTTGCGGTTATACGTATACGTGACTACTACAGCAGCATTAATGAGTCGGCACCGTACTTCCAGTAGGTTTGGAACTTCTCAAAAGTTATCAAAAGTCATTTGTAGTCAACAACAAAAACTCGTCTCTCCCATCTTTTTGTACAGGAACAAGGGGAGACGTTCATGAAAAGGTGCATCAACCACCTGTTCGCTACGATCATAGCCGTCCTGGTCTGCTATGTGTTGCGAAAGGTGACATCTTGCGAATACCCTTTGCTGGCAGTTAACAACAGGTACCCATCTGTCCTTTTAGTGATCATGATTCAACGACATTGACCTAATGATCGATATCGATATTCCTGAGATTACAGTCTGACAGACAAACCTACAGAGAGAGAGAGAGAGAGAGTCCCAGACAACACTCCCTTGCCTTGGGTTTACATGTTGTACGTGTAGTTATTACATCTCCATGTCATGTAAAAAGTTTGAATTTGATTTTTATGTACTACTTCTGATACACAATGTACACCATCGTAATGTACATCATGGGAATATCCAGGTATGGCTCTATGTCTCCAACCATCAATGGCGGCGAATTGCTGTTCATGACCAACTATCCGGACGACCCGATCAAAGAGGGTGATGTCGTCGGGGTCATGCTCCCGGAATTGGGAGACAACGAGTACAAGCTGCGATTGCGCAGGGTTGTCGAGGAGCACCCAGACTATAAGAAGTACGTGCTATGCCCTGTTGTATGTATTTTTTTTTACCCCCACTATTAAAAGAATGGAGATATGGTTTTTGTTTGCGCTTACTGCTTTCTCAGGTGTTTGTCGTTACATGAATTTGACAGCTGCTAGCCTTGCGTGACGTAGGATATGGTTATGATCATTAGCTTTAACATGTCGCATAGATTGATATTGATGAAACAATACATAAACGATCAAAACAGTCACCCAAATAGCTATGTTTCTATAAAACAGGCATATATGATATGAGGTCCGTTTAGATCAAGCTAGGCTTCAATCAGATGAGGGTTAGTTCAGCTTCAAGAACCACTTTTTAATGAAAACTAATTACTTATTTATGGTTAAAATTATTTAATTATAGTTTCTAGCCTATCAATGAAATGTTTCAAGTATTTATCCTATATCATATGATTTTATTCACATTTGTTTTGAGACAATTGAGTTAGCAAACACATAGAGTGCTTATGGAATACTATTTATGTACTACCCTTTTGTTATGCAATCATCGTTAAGACATGATTATGATTAGTTTCGAAGGGGATCCAGTTTACCTGACGCAAGTTGACAACCGGCTCGCAGAAGGGAAAGCAGTCCTCGGACCAGCATATGTTGGGAAGGAGCTCATTGTCGGCAAGATGATCATGTAATTATAGATTTACCTCCATATTAAATAGATTTACCTCCATATCAAATAATAATTCCCACTAAGTAAATGTATATAGTACATGTATATAAACATGCGTACGTACTAACAAATGTAATCGTAAATTCATATCAAAAGGCAATTCTTTGTTGGTGATTGAAATTTGTACCTTCTGCGTGCACCCTAGCTTTTCAGATTAATATGCATAACAAATCCTAATAGTTGGAGAACAGTTTATTTCTCATTATGCCAACTCAGATGAACTTTCATGCTAACATATAATCTTGTTTGCATTGCCTACAACAGGAGTGTTCCATTCCTTGGGTTCCCTCATATCCTTCTCAATGCAGACATTCCACATTTGGTGAATATACATTTCTGTTTCTCTTTCTTTTTCCACACACCAGAAAGCAAACGACAGAAATAGGATTCTTTAATATAAATATTCTTCCGTTGTCTGTATTGGTCTCTTCTAGTATAATTTTCAATGGCTTACCTGAGCTTTAAATCATAGACATAGAACCTTGTAACATTTCGACATTTCGTTTCATTGATGGAATGGTGCATTATGTAACATTAGAACGACACAAAAAGTACATTTTGGGTCATTTCTTTACTAAGTAGGTGGAATCAACTCTACTCCATTGTAAATAAATACTAGCCTCTACCAGGCACCGCGGATCGCTGGAAAAATAGTAGAAATTGGCCGAAATAAAGGGATAGTATACAGGGAAGATCCAGGGCCATAGAAGCCACGTGGGTTGCAAATTGGATCTTCTATGGCCCTGGATCTTCTCTGGTATACTATCCCTTTATTTCGGCCAATTTCTACTATTTTTCCAGCGATCCGCGGTGCCTGGTAGAGGCTAAATAAATACCATACAGAAAGTGGAGGTACCAAAACATGGCGTCTTACGAGTGTACATTCTTTTTACTATAGTTTGTGGTGGCACCAAAAATTGAGTGCACCTAGATCTAGAATGGGCTGTTTTAGCGCCAGTCATAAATGTCAGAAATGTGAGATGATTGCAAAAATATGTTGAAAAGTGGATTTCGAAGTAAATTATAATTACACGAATATGTCTATAGATGAAATATTTCATTTTTGGTACATAAATGGCACATAATGTCCCTTAAATCAATAATTGTCACCAGCACCTATTCCTTTTCAGGTCTTTGCCCGTGCAGCGGTAATCATCTATGCTATGGTGGCGATGATCTATGGAAAGTTCAAGCACCGGCTTCCAGTGGACCTGTTTGCTTATATTTGAGCAGCTGTTGGAAAGCCAACTTTTTAAGTACCCCCATGATTGTATTGTTTTTGGTATGTCTGCATGGCCCTTTGGTATGACCTTAAGGGCAGGTTGTAATGGATATGGTTGGGTTCAGTCTAGTGATGCATACCGGTTCACTGGACTTGGATCCGAACTTGTAAGAATGTTTAGGTTCAAGTCCAAAAAAAACTAAAAGTCAAGAACTGAGTCTGGACTTATTACCATAAAAGACCATTTCACATACCCCTTTTCTTTCCAAACCACCTAAAACCTTCCGTAGATTGTAAAATCTTTGCTGCAAAATGAAGAAAACATTGCCATCGGGCATCGTCAAGTACCGGCCTCCATGCTAGTCTGTGGCCAAAGTTTCACCCAGACAACACTGCAAGGTTGCCAACATGCAATTTTGTATATCACTATATGCCATGGGTTTAGGTCCGGACTTACAAGTCCGGAACTGAACCTAAAACTCTGGACTTGAATCCGGACCTGAACCTAAAATTGGGTTTAGGTATGCATCATTAGTTCAGTCTGTCCCAGAGGGGGGTCTGGAATTGCTCGCTGTTTTCATGGGGTTTTTCGTTACATGACCTCCTTGACTGATGATACCCGGTGTTGTTTCCCTTGCACGATAAAGAAAGACTTGAAGAGACCATGGTGAATAAGGACACAGTCAACATCACGCCATGGAGGTATGAGATCTCAGAATTCTTTTTTTTTCCAAGGGAGCAATATCTGCTCAGTAATGTTAAACTTTAATTCAATTTCAAATGTGACACGTCTTAGTTAATTAATGTTCTCTGGTCTCTCTTCTATGGCCAATTTGCTATATATTGAGCTCACAGCATACTACATGTACTTCAGTAGCAATGACACTGAATCCTAATTTGCCATGGAAACATTTATTTGTACTTTTCACTTCTACCACAAAAGACCACTTGAATATGTACTCAACATCTGAATCATAACAATTGTCAAATATTAAGATTTCTCTTTTGACATTGGCACATTGCAGATAAATTTTTAACAGATGTAGATAGAACTTAATCGTAGATTCAGTTCATTCTAAGGATGATATACTGAATTCCCATGTTGAAAAATTATTTCAAACGTTTTGCATCTAAATCTTCTTCATAACACAATCGTAACATACCTTGTAATAATAACAGTTGTCAGAAGTCATGGTGTAACAATACTCTCCCATATTTTGTTATTTGAAGGCAAACATTGAGTCATAATTGTTTGCATTCTTGAAAGGGAAAAAGTTGTATCATCCATAGGATAAACTGACAGAGGCCTTACTACATCACTGAACTTTATGTACATCCTGTATTTGCACAATGCTTACCACAAAAAAAAAACATCCATACGTTACCCATCTCTTGAAAATAGCTCTACAATCTTCCATAATTTTTCATATATTTCAAGTACATGTAGATGGATTATATCATAACAATTAATATGTGATGTGTGTTGTTTTTCTAATAAATTCTATGTGAGATTTTGTTAAAAGGAACTTTGTGTGGTGCGAATTATATTGGGTGGGCTGTACAGAAATTATACCAAAATTGAGTTAAGAACCAGGCTTACAACGGTTTAAACGATGAAACATAAAGAATTATATGATTTTCCTTCAAAGATTATGTGTATCTTATGCCTCATATTAAAAAAAATCTAACAACTGCTCTTAGATATTTCATAATGCTCTTCATAGAATGACCAAATTGCATACAAAACAATGTTGATTGTGAATATATATAATGAAACATGACTTTTCTAACAGTTACTGTTGTTACAACATTTAATGCTTTGTGGTGACATTACATTAACACTACAACAATCCAGATATTTCCCAACATTTTTGGTGTAATTTTTCAAGTTGAGACAAGAAATTAAACTTTCTATTTCTGATTATACTAGTACTATTTCTGACCACAACTATTTTGTGTTTCTTTGTGCAATTGTTTCAGAACAACACTGTATATGTGATGTATATACTAATACTCCAACATTGTTCCTGTTGCTACAAGTATGACATAAAGTTAAATATCAGATTGTAACGTTGCCTGTGATTGGTTGTGGCAGTGAAGACAGGAATTTTCTCATTGGTCAATGCAGAATTGATTCTGATTGGCCATCCTGTATGTATCCATAGTAACTACTGATATTCTCTGCATTGTGTACTATAATGCACATTGAGTAAAGCAAGATTTTACTAAATGACCTCCATTTTAAACTGTCTTGGAAACAAAGTACTGCAAAAAATACCAAGCAATCATTCTCATTGTAGTGAAAATTTACTGAAAATGACATTTAATTTTTTCCTTCAATTTTGTATTACCACCTTTTTTTCACCATCAGAAAATATTAAGCTACATACAAGGAACAATCAAATCACTGACTGTACAAGTACGTTGTGGAAAAACTTTTTTCATCTGGAACCTACATGGAATTTCATATCTGTGCCATGAAATTACAACTTTCATAACTTTCCATGTCATACCTTTATAGACCTTTTTTAAACTTTATATATACTTCAGTCTCAAAACGTTTTTGTAATCGAAACACAAGTATGGTATTGTAAACTAGGCTATGGACAACATTCAGAATTTTCCATGCCAATTATGAAAATATTGGCCACTTTTCATGACAGTTCATGTCTGAACCATGCTGTTTTCATGACACCTGATGTAATGGCTGTACAAAGTTTGGTATCCTCTTACTGCACTTGTTAACACTTGTTAGGGAATGCTTCCAGCCGACTCTACTCCATGTGTTATTCTCGGTGTATGAGTACAAATGCACCTAAACAGGCTAGGATGGCATACTGGAAAACAGAGCGAACATCACGTTAAAAAAAGTCACAAAGTTGAGACTGAAATATTTAGCAAAAATGCAATGCATTGACATAGCAAATGATTGATAATTTGTAAAAATAACTGATACAAAAAACACCATAAACCATTGAATTCTTTTCACCATGCACTGTTTCATTAATCATTACACTGAGAGGGAAAAATTTAGTTCAACACTGTATTCAAAAGTCAGAAAAAATAAAATGATTCAAAATACTTGGTGCACAAATAATACATTGACAGGACATATACATCCACTGAGATAGTACACGTTGTAACCAGGCTGATGACAAATTATTTCTCACCTTGAATTTTGGATAATCATTCATTAAGATGGTCACTATCCCAACATAAGGCACAAACCTGGAGAAAACAAGATAAAATACATGAGTACTGAAAAAAACATTCACTAGTTACACATACTCTTACAAAACTATTAATACATCAAGCAATGTATAATTAGAATTGACAAAAGGTAACTTTATTGACCAGTCTATAGATTTAAAGGTAATGGAGTTGTAACATTCATATTTCTCTGTCTATTGGATTCAATACAAGTTATGGCACTGGTAATGCTAATAGTAAGTTTGAAGTGCTTGCTTTACTAAACCATGCCAGTGGTCTGTAGCCCTACACAGTGAGTGTTTGTTTCAGTAGACTGCTGTACTCACCCCCTAGCTCTCCCCACTACATCTTTCCTGTGGAGCCAGAGCTGTCCTGGAGCGTACAGGCCCCGGTCATCCACAGAGTTGTTATCTCCTTTTGTCAGGAACTTCACCGTGCCATCTTCCCTGGAATCATGCAACAGACAAGATATCATGTACAATTCAAGAAATGATTATACTGAACTAAAATGTACAAAACATTTTCGTTTCTTTCATGTACAGGGGTTTTGTTTTAGGTGTTTCTTTGCTTGTGTCTACAGTTATTTGAATACAGTACAAGCATGAGAGATGAGGAGGGAAATAGTGTATGTGCAGACTGGCAGGAAGGTCAAATTGGAGGTCAAAATGGTCTTCCCGCAGGCTGGGAGTAAGTGAGGTCAAATTGAAGGTCTAACTAGTCAACTGAAGGCTGGAAAATAGTGACAGTTGAATATGCACAGAATCTGGGAGAACTTCACAATAATGAATAAAAACAAAAAATTACATTTTAATGTAGACTTGTCTGGTTTTCTTTAAAAATTAACTGAAGAAATTCAAAGAAAATTTTAACTTGTAATCTCACTTTTCATGCAGCTTGATGACCCTGTGTACAATTGGAATGTCCCGTCCCTCCACTTTGAAGACTACGATCTCCCCCACGCGAATGGGATCTTCCTGGTAGTTAGTGAGGAACAGCAGGTCTCCTCTGTGGAAGGCTGGTTCCATACTGCCACTGGAGGGGTGTAAAAAAATTCATGTCAAATAAATCTGAACTTACCGACAACTTTAACCTTCTTTTGCTCCTTGTTGCCGATTCAGAAATGGTTGCCAAATTGCTGCTAAGGGTTAAAAATGAAGACCAAATACATATGTGCTGATTGTCAACATAATGATACAGTCTAGGCTTCTGAAGTGGCTGAAAAGAAAAAAAAAAGTGGGTAAACAGACAGATACACTACACTTATGTATGTTATGTAAGCAATGTAATGTTCCTGGTATGTGTTTATTTTAACATTGTAAATGCATGTGTATCAATGTCATTCAGGCAACATTTATGTATGTCTGCAATGTTGATATAATAATAAAGAATCGAAGAATTGAAGGTAACATACCAAGGGAGTTAGCCCACTAAATGTACAGCATGTTACCTGACTATTTGGCCAATTTCTACTCTTTTTAGCAACTTCTGAAGCTAGAGGCTACTGAAAGGGAACATGTCAAAACTGAAAAATGTGTTCAAAAGAAAGTTCAATGAAAGCTTGCATTAGCTCAAATAATTATAAGTAGTCTAAGTAATCTATTTGGAGTTCTACTCTAATGATTCTGTACCTGAGAACGACCACAATCGGACTCTCGCTTCCTGTCACCACCATCAGACCTTTCCAGATCATGAGTGCAGACGACACGATCATGGCAAAGTTCAGCACCTGGTAGTACAGCTGGGGAGAAGAGAATACAGATGAATACACTGTGAATTATGATTCTGGCTGTACATATACTAGTTCATGTAACAATATTCAATGGCAATCTACACTTACTTTTGTGCAAAGGAACATACATATTCCACAGAATCAGGTCCAGCACTGAAATTTATGCAGAAAGCATGACAACGATCCATTTATGTCAGCTGGTAACTACATTTGTATTTGTTGTATTACCTTAAGTTATGGAAGTATGAATATTAATATAAGACCTCAACTGAATTCAAGATGCAACAATATGCAATATCAATTTCTAGTTATTATTATGACCTTGTTGCCATAATTTAATAATTTTCATTTCATGTTTGTCGAAGTGAACAGTACTAAAGAAGAGAAACTTTTGAGTTATCTACATGCTGCACTAAGAGTAAGACCTTTGTAGGAAGGAATCAACAACACAGACATCCACTACAGACACGTGCACCATTTGGTATACATTGAAGAAGTATTTCCGTGTTATGTCTCTGCGATATAATTTTTTTTGTCCAGATATATCCCAGCAAAGCCTAGCATAGAACACAGTGACTGCTATAAATACGCAATATGCTTTCTCAAAAGTAGATAACTCTAACATACACAGTCTGTATCGTGCAGTTAAGCACAGACAAATCCGTGAAACAAGTTAGACTGTCTTTATCGTATTTTACTGAGAGAAAATTTAATTTGGGTTCAGCATGGGGTGGGGGGCGCATGGAACCATATGGACTCTTACGCCGACCACTGTAGGATGGAAAATTTGACCCAATCATTCAGTTTAGACGCAACCACAGGGACTGTTTCTGACCTGCCGTTTGTTCATCCGGCGCACATCGTCCAAGAAGCCGAAATCCATCATCTTGGGGTGGTTTGAGGGAGCTCGCTTCTTCCAAGAAAAAGGAAAATCGCCTCCCTGGTGGAACCGGAAGTACACGACACGCTACCCAAGTCTCGTTTCAAGGACCAACTCTCGCGTGATGCCGCGATTTCCGGTTATTGTAGGCTGGTCTGTTCCATTTTCTACTGAGGGGTGCTTACTACAAGTTTGTCATCAACAAGTGTCATTTCACCACCTACTTTAGATATTGTGCATAATCAACCAACTTCTAGACAATAGTAGTTCAGAGTTTTCAATCTCCAAGCAGATGTTGTAGTCCAGGGCAGGTTTCCTCAATGCAACCCAAACCAAGCAGATACAGGGGTGGAAGTTGGTAACATTTTCTATCACCAACCCCACAGTCAGATATTCCACCTAACATCACCACGGAGATCACTAAATCATAAACACACATTAAGTCCTGCTTTTGTAGATTTAATGAAGCACATATATTTGCATATCAATAAGCCATCAGTAAGAGCAGTAATCCATTTTCCGCATCATAACACTGTACAGTCATGTACAATGTACTAGGTAAAGTCATCATCAAACTGCAGCATTGAGAGTAACACATATAAAGTGTGCAAGTCACTAGACTTCGACTTTGTAAAGTTGGTTCTATTATTCAACAATTTAAGCATGGAAGACAAAATATACTGAGAGTTTGGGCTTAGGCTTTATAATCAAACCATGACAGTCAAAGACAAAGGTATGATTATATGATTATGAGGACAATGTGATAGAACTAGAGCAAAAACTGCTTGCATTAATGGAGCCATGGATTTTTTTCAATGGAATGGTTTTAAATTGGCAAGACCTTCAAAGATATTATATACCAGGCTACATTTCTACACAGGTTCTAGTTTGTATACAGTACAATGGAACAGATACATGTATGGCATTGCTACAGAATGTTGATGCAGAGAAATAAATAGTTGGTAAATAGTTGTCACATTCAGTAGCTTACACTTCAAATATTGAATTTCAACATGACACAAGCAGCCTCACTACAAAGTTGTCAATCTCACAATGTAGACAAATCCACTGCAACTGTTTACACTCTAGATGTAGAGTTTACTTTTGTCAGGTTTCCCTACATTTCACTTGTTACTGTCACTACTGTTGTTACTGCTCAGGACAGCAATTTGATATGATATAGATATCTTCTTAGCACTAAAAAAAGGTGAAGAAGTACAATGTAGCTTGGTGTAACACAAATGAACAATATCATCACTCAAATTGACCATTCATATGCTTTCAAAATTTGTCGCCTGCATGGCTGTACATGTACCTCTAAAACCTATTACTAGTATTTAGATGTGTTTCTGGTTTAGATGGTGATGTTACATAGGCCACTGACTTACTAGTAAAAAGAATCCATATACCATTCAGTGTTCTATTTAGTTCAAGACAGTGTTTTATGTGTATATTTTGTGATTTTTAGGCAGTATTGTGTATTGATGTGTCACAGCATGATGTTCACACACTCTCCAGCAGCACTGCAATGCCCTGGCCTCCTCCAATACAGGCTGAACCAATGGCTTGCTTCGCACCTCTCCGCCTACATAGAGAAAAACGGAGAAAAACGATGATGTAAAGAAAATTTGATTGATCAATAATAATTGATTCATTGATTGATTGGTTAATATCAATAATGATTGATTGATTGGTTAATAAGTTATTGAAAACCTAGTACCTGAGCTCGTGCACCAGATGACCGGTGATCCTGGCGCCCGATGCGGCCAGCGGATGTCCGAGAGCGATCGCGCCGCCGTTCACGTTGGTTTTCTCTGGGTCCAACCCTGCAGCCTTCTCTACAGCCAAGTACTGAGCAGCAAAGGCCTCGTTCACCTAAAACAACAATCATGCAAAATTGCATTGAAAATAGAAAAAACTCAAAAATTTACAGTACACTGTAGCTACTGGTTTTTCTAAAGTTACTTACAGTTTTACAGTTATGGAAAAGTTTTGGTCAATAATTGGGTTGGGCATTATAAATGTATAAAAATGGCTAAAGTATATTGTAATTTGTGACAAATCATTTCATGTAGTTTCCTTCATTTTTAAAAAGTTAAAACGCCACACTTATTTGATCTATTTGTTCTCAGATTTCAGTATATAGTGAAGTGTTTTGGCAAATGTGTGACTGTGGCTTTATTTTAGACTCTCTGACAGCTTTTATAGAGTTTTACCACCAAATTTTCAGTAAAACTCTAAAAATTCTTACCTCCACCAAGTCTACATCAGCCAGTTTTGCCCCAGTCTTCTGCAGCAGTCCCTCTATGGCTGGTACGGGGCCAATACCCATGATGCTCGGCTCACAGCCGGAGTAGTGATAACCGACCAGCCGGGCCAGGGGAGTCAGGTTATACTTCTTCACAGCGTCCTCTCCTGCAATCACCACGGCTGCAGCACCATCACATACACCCTGGAGGAAACAGTAGTTAAAGAACTAGTTAGCATTTGCTGGCAAATACTGTACAGAAAGTTTCTCTCCCCAAGTTAAAGTTTTATCCTGAACAAATGTAGTGGCTGAAATTGAAATAAAAACTGCCTAGTACATTTATATTTATTTTCAACAGCTGAAGAATACCATTCTTTTTTGAAAAGGTGTTATCCTCACTTACATTGTATATTAGAGGAGAAAATGCTGCTTACCACATAAAAGGGGCATCATGTGCATGAAACAGCCATACATAGCCAAATATGGATAGTGGCTGTTCCAAACACTGTCTACCCCCACTGCAGTTTCATCAACCCATATTTTTACCTGTTTTTTCCCATAAAATTGGCCATATTTTTTCAGCAAGGCAATGGCATTGGCATCATTCAAAAGTTTTCTTTGTGTTTCATTTTATCAAGAGTAACTGTCCTTAAAAAAAAATTGACAGACTGATTTTTACCGAGGCATTGGCTGCCGTGACCCTTCCGTTCTTCTTGAACACAGGCGGCAGTTTGGCCATGGCCTCCATGTTGGCCTGAGGTCTTGGGTGCTCGTCTACCGCAAACTCTTCTTTCCCCTTCTTCCCTTTCACTGTCACTGGTACTAACTCTTCAGCAAACCTGCCATTATCATGTGCTGTGGGGATATATACAGATAATATATTAAAATTGAATAAAAATTGTATGATTGTCAAATTTCTTAATTTTTCTCTAAAAGTTTGCAAATTATAAACGTAATAAAGTACATGTACAAATTACATTGCACAATGTACATGTACATGAATATTGTAAGCACAAAATTTAATGCAAAAGTGAAAGATGTTTTGACGCATCTAATTTCGTGTTAAAGAAAAGGGAGAGAATATATTTCAGGTCATTTGGTTCCGTAATAAAGAAATTGAATCCATTTAAAGAAATGGCAGGAGGAGGAGAAGATGGAGAAGAAACACTAGGGAAAACAATATAGTTCATCCATACCATGGTATTTACTGGTATGACTGAAATATAATAACTGCGTACTGACCGTCCTTCCACCTGGACTGTGTCCTGATGGCGTAGTTATCGCAGTCCTCGCGGGAAATGTCGTACTTCTCTCCCAGGTTCTCCGCTGTCACGCCCATGGGAGTGTTAATGTGCTGGTCAGTCAGGCCTGTCCACAGGGTGTCCTCAAGCTGACAATCAAATTTGTTTGTTTGTTTACTGTTCTTTCAAAAACAAATATAAAGCTTTCTACTAGCACTTAGTATCATACATGGCCTAGTGGTTAGTGGTCCTGCTGCTTCTGATCCAGTTCTGTTACAACTTACTAATTATAAATAATTGAGATCAGCTCAGACAATGTCTAACCTTACAGTGTTTATTTGGCATAGAAGGAAAATTTTAAAGTTTAAGACATTCACAATAAGCCAGTTCACAGTTCAAACTACACATGTACAGTGTGACGCATTGTTGGTAACTAATACATCAAAATTGAACTTGAAGAAATCTGAGACACAATTAAAAGATGTCTAAAAGGTATATTTTAGCATGGTTTTGACAACTGTTAACAAGTTAGTTAAAATTTTACCTCACACAGAAGTTGAATACCGTTACAGTATTAAGAATCAAATGTTCTTACGTTGAGGTCCAATCCCAGTCTGGTTCCGAAGCGAGCGTTCCGCAGGACGAAGGGTGCCTGTGTCATACTCTCTGACCCTCCTGTCAGAACAATCTCTGCATCACCCATGATAATGTCCTATAGGAGAGGTTGAAAACAGCATGTTTGAAAACACTATAGAGAGATATCAAATAACTAGAAAGGTAACATTTGCAAAGCAAATTGCATAATGTTTACCTTCACATATGGTCTGCTCTGTTAATTCTTACTCAAACATATTCATATATATGGTGAGGAGTCTAAATCCCTCCTGCTATAAAATTGCAACATAATGTACCAAACACTAGTTACCATGGCAGTCATAAACACAATTATATTATGTTTTCATCTTTACCTGTGCTCCGTTGACCATAGCCTGGAACCCAGACCCACACAGACGGTTGATGGTAAGAGCCGAGGCTGCCACGGGGACGCCCACTCGCAGGCCAACATGGCGGGAGATGTACGCTGCATCCTTGGAACTCTGGGATATCAAGAACATATCAATAGCAAATCAGAGATTTTTTTAAGTACCAGGCAGTATTTTGAGTTCTTGAATTTATTGGAACAACCAAGGAGATTGTATGACGTATTCTAATTGGGACTAGGACAGAAACTGTGCAGGCCTAGGGTTGCTCATTCAATATTTAGCTTCCCGAATTCTGGAAATTCTTACTGGCTTCAGGTCAGATTCTTGGGCCCCATTTCCAGTGTCTAACCTTATGACCTCCTGTCATTCTGCCTGTCATTCTGCCTATCATTCTTACCCCACCCATGTGCTTTAAACTTTCTACAGAAATCTGTAACTTTTGTAACACTATACCTGGATACAGTTCCCCACGACCACAGAACTGACGGCCTCGGCTGGCACGTTGCCCGCGGCCAGGGCAGCCCGCGAGGCGATCTCACTCAGGTCTGTGGCCGTCAGGTCCTTCAGCTTCCCGCCAAACGCGCCGAAGGGCGTACGCTTGGCGGCCACGATGAAAACTCCTGGGTGAGGAGAAAATTGATCGCTGTCAGTGGGGGAACGCCTTTTGGGGATCGTTCAACTAGTAATTGCTGTTATACATGAGGTAAATATGGTTCTCAACATTAGATTTGCGGTGATTTTTTGTTATTGTCTACATGATAATTGTGCTCCCTGTAGAAAACAAAACATCGGAAAAACTGTGCTTTGTATTGGACTTGAAGCCTTGGTGCGTATTTTATCATATCATAATCCAATGGTATATATATATCCAGGTAAAATAGTGTGTTGCTAGGAAATACTAGAGAACAACATACTTCTAGACTATCATATATTTACATTGACTTCTTAAGTAGATCAACAGTAGGGTGATTCGTTCTTAAGAGGTCACAAGTCAAAGATCTGAGATAAGTTTTCATGATGACCTCGACTGGCTCGAGCGATGACCTCTATGACGTGTAAGGAAAAACTGAGATTTGAACCTTCTTTAGACGCTAACATTTAAATCAAACGATACTATTATAATCCAAAAACCAATCTGATTATCTGTGATCTAAAAGTCGTTACGTTTTCTTCAGAATAAGTAATACAGGGCCGGGAAAGGAGGAAACACAAACTTACCTCGACTCAGCGCCATGTTGGATTTAGGATAGTCCAAGAGTTGTTCATGTAGGGATGTGTAAACTTGTTTGTGTTTTTTGAGAAATTCTAAAATATACTAAAGAGAGATTTTGTGACAAGTACTACAATATTATCAGTGTTAAAATAGTTCTTAAATGCTAATTTAACAGTATAAGCGAGAATGATAGATTTATCTATTTTTAACTTAAAATTGTCCCCTCTATCCTAATCGGATAGTCGTATATCCCAGTGGGAAGCCATCATGGCTGAAGTGTAGGTGTTTTATTTTGGTTCTATACAGACTTTCCCGTTTTACTATCCATAACTCCTCTTTCTTGTGATCCCTGCCACCTTAACACCCCCTCCTATACTCCACCTATCTTCCTTTACGCCTCAGACTCAATGAGTATCGTCATTTTCCTTATCTGAACCGTGAAACAAGAGGGATCCTAGGGAGCCCTTGCGGCCCCCCTCCCCCATATTTTTTACGGAATGATGACAGAGGAACTCTATGAGATGTTCAGAGGCTTTCCCGCCATAAGTTTCGTCATCGTCATCCCCTAATATTTTGTTACTCTGTTTTTGTTGTACCTCCAACATTTTTTATCTACCTCTTCCACTGTTGTCTATGATGACCAAACTCTGCGCAAAATCTTAGTGACAACCGAGTATATACTAAATGTATAACTTCGGTTGTTGCGATGCGAAAACTGAGAGTCTGAGACCACAGTTTAACAAAGTCTGAAGTTTACAATTTGTATTTTTTGTCACTATCACTATCCCTTGCTTTCTCTGTTTTTCGTCTTTATATAACTTTCTTAGGTAAGTCACCAGTGCACCCAGTTAAAAAAAAAACTTCAATAAACAACCAACAAAAGTGACTAAAACAAAACGTCATTCTAAAAGAATAATAGAGGCAATATACAAAAAATATACACAACTAGCTACAATCAAGGTTTAAAGGTTTGTGGGAGTAGCCCCTGAAAACTGTCAATTACTGTGTGTCATTTGGCATTACTACAAGAGTACAAGCCCTGTAATATACTATTGATATTTTTGTGTTACAGGACTATGCGACCAACCACGCACTAAAACATAAGCCATTAGTACAGAAAAGCCAACTGAAACTGGCTAAAATTTGTATCTTTCCATAAATGTACATAGCGGCATTGGATAATAACTGTGGCTAAGATGGCAACCGTATTCGTACAAGTTGGTCAATGTGGGAATCAAATAGGACAACAGTTTTGGACGCAAGTCCTGCCACTGAAGGACACTAAGGAGGGCATGCCCTTCTTCAATGCGAACGAGAGGCTACTTTCAGTCCATGTAGACAGTGAACCCAAGGTACTGCGTAGGCTGGGACTCTCGCTGAAGAAAAAGAACTTGGAAGAAGGCAATCTAATTTCAGGTAAGTGTGTATAAAACCGGTAATAACTTTTGTGTCTTCTTGTGTCTTACTAAATGTAGAATTGTGTAAGTCACAAGTGTAGGGCTGCTTTGTGTAAAAAAAAAACATTGTTTTTACTCCATTTCTTCTTCTCCAAACACATTAGGTCAATGATATCTGTCACCATGGTAACTGAGTACTGTAGTAGACACCCTGTGGTGTTGGGTTACATTATGTAGCAAGTGGCTTAAGAGAGTTGGAGAGGCTGGTCACCATGTATATGAAGGTGTTTGTGTAAGAATAAACAGAGGAGAGAATACATGTTCATTATCAAGAACAGAAGCATGCTGGTTAGTGGGAATACAGTTTCAGTACCAAGGACGGGCATGTTGGGTAGTGGAAATACAGTTTCAGTCCCAAGGACAGAGGCATGCTGGGTAGTGGGAATACAGTTTCATTACCAAGGACAGGGGCATGCTGGTTAGTGGGAATACAGTTTCAGTACCAAGGACAGGGGCATGCTGGTTAGTGGGAATACAGTTTCAGTACCAAGGACAGGGGCATGTTGGGTAGTGGGAATACAGTTTCAGTACCAAGGACAGGGGCATGTTGGGTAGTGGGAATACAGTTTCAGTACCAAGGACAGGGGCATGTTGGGTAGTGGGAATACAGTTTCAGTACCAAGGACAGGGGCATGGTGGGTAGTGGGAATACAGTTTCAGTACCAAGGACAGGTACTAGTTTGTAAGGTAAAAATTGTGTATTTGCTTTGCAAATATTACCTTAAACTTCTGGTTATCATTTTGTGTTGTTTCAGGAAAAAGAGGACGTGGCACAAACTGGGCGCTCGGCTACCATGGTGTGAGGAGGACTGAAGGCTGTGTGTTGTTGGATCAGACAGTGGAGGCTGTGAGGAGGGAGGTGGAACAGTGCGACTGTTTCTCTGGGATTGTTGTCATGCACAGTCTCAGTGGAGGGACAGGATCAGGTACAAAATCTTCTGTATTGAGATTTAACCTTCAATCTGCTGAGGTAGCCCTCTGACAACAAGTTTGTATTGGCCATGGGGTTTAAGGTGGCAGGGAGAAGGTTAATGTTAGCAAACATTACAATAGCTTTGAAAGTGTTGGACAACATTGAGTTCTGCTCCCTACTCTCCCGTTCTTGTTCTTCAAGTTTTTGTTTCACCATTGCTTTCTTGACGATATGTGCTACATGTGCTTGGCTTGAGCCTTTGTTTCTGTCTTGGATTCACCCAACACAGATGAGCTTTCATTTCATTCAGTCAAACTTAAAAACGTATGTACTCACAACGATAATGTACTGTTTTAATTTGCTTCTTGAAATAAATTTTTTTCTGAACTAGCTGTTATGCTCACGGTCAAAATTCAATTCAATTTTGCACAAATTTTTATTTAATGCTGAAGAGTGACAGATGTCACTCAAGACATCCAGAACAAATCTCGGTAAGTTGTCCAGTTTGTGTCTTTGAATGTTGTTCCATACTACATTTTTTGTACTTTGTCATCTTTCCTTCTGCACAGGACTAGGAGCCCATGTTATTGAGGACCTAAAAGATCACTTCCCCATCCCGTACCTCATGTCCGTGGCTGTGGCCCCCCATGCTGGCGGTGAGAGCCCCCTCCAGCACTACAACTGTCTGCTGTGTCTGTCCTGGGTACAGCAGTACACCGATGCTGTCCTGCTGTTCAACAATGATGACGTGCTGTACCAGCTACAGCATCAGCACAGCAGCAGCAAGTCACAGATTTCCATACCTGAGATGAACCAGTACATTTCTGACTGTCTAGCAGGTGTGAGCTCTTCCATATGTCTGTTTTATTTATTTATTTGTTTGTTTTGAATAACCAGTAAACTACCTCTAGGCATAACACACCAGTTTTGTATATGTTAATAATCTGTAGTAGTATACCTGGTATTACTGCCCTTTGGCGTAACATACCAGTTTTGCACAGTTAAGCTGTGTAAGATTGGACTGTAAGGTTTGAACCACTCACACCAGGAAGGACCCCTAGTCTCTAAGTCTTTTCGATAAGTGTGTTGGGATCTTTAACCTGCCTGAGGTGTGGCTGTCCGTAAACATATGACCAATCTTATCCAAGAGGACGTCCCTAGTACTCATTTTCTCTTCATGTTGAGTAGAAAATAGGTGCAGTGTTTTTCCCAAGGGCAAAACATTTGATCCTGCCAGGGATTCGAACCCAGAACCTAGCTTTAGAGTCTAAGCCTGACACTGTTTGTCTTTTGTCCCCTGCAGGTTTGTTCCTGCCCACAGACAGTATCACCCCCCCAGCAGGAGTCCCCCTGGGTATGGAACCATGGGAGCTGCTCAGGTCTGTCTGTCCCATACCGGCCACCAAGTTTGCACAGGTAAACACACATCAGCACTGCTGAGTTACTCTGGTCACTCACAGTACTAGTCTTTATGGAAAAAATCTACCACAAGGTGCATGTGCTTGGAATAAGTCCTCAGATTTCTTTAAATTTGTATTCATTGATATTTATTGAAAATCTGACTTTATAGTTGTTGGAATGTGGCACTTCTGATATACACCATTGAAGTTTTGCTTGTGATATCTGTTGTCATCTTTGCAATCCTTGCAGTCAGATTTTCTAGCCTTTTCTGAACATTTGTCAGAAAATTATATCTGTATCATATGACGTAACTGTGCAATATTGCATTCCTTGATGTCTATAGCTACTAGTATATTTCTAAACACTTTTAAATACAACAAAAGCCCAAGTTTTAGTGAAATTGAGCTCTTACCAATGTTTGCTTCAGTCTTGAAATCTTTGTTTGAAAAAAAGTGGTCTCACACCAATGTTTACTGAAGTCATGTGGTCTCACAGGTGAGTCACCACATGGGTAGCAGACTGGGCTGGGACGCCATCGCCGCTCACTCCATCCAGATGTACAAGAAACAGCATTCCCACCGGGACCGGGCGCTGTCCGCTGTCGTGGTGGCACGCGGGGATAGCAAGGACGATTTCCGCAGGTACAGGCCTGGCGTGGAGAGGAAGGTTCGGGCAGGGTGTAACTGTGTGGACTGGAACCCCTTCCCTGTCGACTTCTGGACTGGTAGGATGTTGTTATGTTTACTGTAAACCATTTTAAATTTGCGGTAGGAAAAATTTGAGGTCTTAGAAAAATGTACATGTTTCCGGAACTATATGTTTGCAGTGGCAGCAGGTGCAGATGACAGCGAAAACCATGAATATAAAACCCAAGAATTGTGATTTACAGTATTAGGAAGTATTCTTATGGATGCTGACTTGTGGGTTTGTGTGTATACTTGGGTAGGTTGATGCCAGGTGGGCAGTCGAAGATTGATAGACAGAATGACTGGAGGTCAAAAGGTCAGACACAGGAAATAGGGTTAATGTGAAGGCTCCAGAATCTGAGCAGAAGACAGTAGGAATTAGAGGTCGATGTGGGTGAATTCTGGAAGCCAAAGATCGCCTGAGCAACCCTCAAGCCTGACTAAATCTCGCCCCTCCAACTTTGTACAGTTTCTGTGTTAGTCCTGATTGAAAATGACTTGTTTATTTCTTCAGGTAAAGATTCCTTGGCGGGTCATACCGAGAAGAAGTCACTGACCATGTGCACAAATAACTCAGGCATCACCAGGTACCTGGAACATGTGCTGACCAAAGCACGACAGAAGTATGATGCCAAGGCCTTCCTACACTGGTACTGGAAATATGGCTGCACTGAACAAGACTTCACCACAGCTTTTGACACTGTTGAGAAAATAGTTGAAGACTATAGAGAGGCTGTTAGATGATAGTATGATGACTATAGTCTGTAGAAAACATTTTGTGTCTGTAAATAATATAAAAATGATGTAATCAAACGCTTTTTTGTTTTGAAGAATATGCTGAATTATATTTTTTTAAGTTTTGCATACTGCAATATATCACATATTACAAAAGGCTCATATTTGGTGATATGAAAGTACTTTCTTTGCACACAACCAGAGAGTTAATCTGTCACCTTTCTCATGGCAATACTTTGCATTGCAGCTAGGTGTCGCTGCTGTAGCGTGAAGAACGCAGTCCCAAACATGACTGTTTGTCTTTTATCTTTTGTATTTGAGCCATATATATATATATACATGTACTAGACCCAACCATTTTCCACCCAAGATGCATGCTACCCCTGGCATGTCTTTGAAGAGACTATAGAAGAGGCTTTGGAAGATAACACTTCCAATTAGCCTACTTTAATTACAACTCTCCGCAGGGCTTAAAGCCCTCTGCGTCTGTTTAGAACTCCCACACAAAATCAATGAAAACTTTTGCACTTTGCGAAGCCTCGACGTGCAAGGAGGATTTGTTTGAGGAGATGTAGATCTAGATCTAGACGGTCAGTCTGAAAACAAGCACTGTGGTGTTGGACGGGGGATCTAACAAGGAAAACACATACAGTTCAGCCATTTTCGCTGCGTACATCACAAGAATTGTAAGGTGAGAAAAGTATTTTGAGAACTATCATATGAAACGTTTGCATGTTAGCTTTGGAGTGTTCTGTAGATTTGTGAGATTAAAATTTGTGTATTACAGTTTAAGTGGAGACATGTTGAAGTATATCTTCACTGACCTTACCATGCGCTGTCGTAGGTTGTATACAATTTTAAAATTGTAGGATTTATCAACTGCTTACGGTGATCTAAAGACAGCCTTTTCGTCACATTACGATATGTTATAAGCTGAATTCTGCAGGATACATGCATGAATATCCCAAGAATGAGCTCAGTTTAATTTGCGATCGTACAATAATTTGTACATGTGGTTACGAATAATGTAATGTAATGCGTGAAATTCTATACATTTTGCCCTAAAATACACATAATTCAAGCCATTTTCCCCTAAAATACGATTTTGGATGCTTTGAATTTTTTACCATAAATCATCATTACACCGGATTGAAACTTGACACTTGAGCTTTTTTTCTAGACCGAGCATGCCGCTGAGCCCTGAGCTGGCTAAGATCTGCTGGGTGACCCACCGCGGCAGCTTCTGTCCCCGGTACGGTGAGGACCCCCGCAGGACGCACTGCTGTCTGGTCGGGGACAAGGTGGAGTGCTGCCTGCCGTCATCCAACGCAACGGCCGCCGGGCACGTCAACGGTTATGTCTACATGAACCTCAAGTACGTGCAAAACTTTGCTTCATTGTTAGATACACATGTATTTTATCTGCCGATCATTTCAGTTTCGGTAACATTTTAGGAAATTCAGTTCACAATAATCAGGGGCTTAAAAGAGCACTAACATCGAGAGAAGAGACTAGGTGTTATTTTCTAATAGATAATATACCAATTATTATATAATTCTTGCAGAAATCTGAAAGTGCGACGTGTTTTGTAAAGCAATATCACAAATATTATCACTACCCCAATATGCATTCCCTATACGTTTTTCACTTCAGCTGTAATGTGAATATTTTTCAGCGTACAGTATATAAATGCTAGATGATCTACATGTGCACGTCAAGGTGGCCAATCGTTCATTTTAGGTATCAAAGAACAAACGACAAGAACAACATGATTTTTCACTCATCTCCCATGCAATTAACTATTTTTGTAACCAAATTTTTCTTCCTTTATCGCTTTACTTTTATTATCTCCTTTATTTCCCTTGATCTTGTAGAGCTCTAAACATCCACGTGTTGGTGCAAGTGGTCTGGTGTGTCTTCTTCCTTTATCTTATCTCTTTGATTCATCTCCTTTATTTTCCCCGATCTTACAGAGCTCTAGACATCCACATGTTGGTGCTAGTCGGCTGGTGTCTCTCCCTCATCATCATCATCATGGTGGTTCTAGTTATCTGCATCTGCCGCGGCCGGTGCACCTGCCACAGGAAGCCCGGGCCGCGGCAGCGCACGTCG